CAAGGCAGGAACCTGGGGGCATGAAACCTCAAAGGAATGTTGCTTATTAGCTTGTTTTCCATGGCTTTCTTAATTTACCATTAAACAAGCCAGGACCACCTCCTTGGGGGAGGTACTACCCACAGTGGCTGGGCTATCCCACATCAATCACTAATTAAGATAATATCCCACAAGCTGATCTAGTAAATGCCATTACTCAGTGAGATTTGCTCTTCTCAGGTGACTCTAGTTTGTGTGAAGTTGACAGAAACGAAGCAGCACAAAGGGAACCTTATTTTACTTTACAATCCAGGGAGATACAGTCAGTCTTCATGGGGACTGAAGCAGGTTCCGGAAGCGGGTGATTGTATTGCATTTCCTGTCAGGAAGCAGAGAGAAGCCCGAAAGTGGGGTGTTGATGTAGAACCTCAAGTCCACTCCCAGAAACTCACTTTCTCCAGTAAGTCTCCATCCTCTGGAGGTTACACAACATTCTAAAAGGGTGCTACTAACTGGGTACCAAATGTTTAAACACATGAGCTTATGGGAGACATTCCACATTCAAATACAACACTGAGTATGGCAATGGCGAATCCTATAATAGTCTTCCTGAAAGAAGTGCTAAGAAAACTGATGATACAATTTAGTGCAATCTGAGGAGACTGACAGTTCTTGAAAGAGGCCTCTGAAACCAGAAGTAGGACTCTGAACCCAGTGTCCATGGCATTCATGCCTGTAAAATTGGCTTCTGTGCTTGTACTATATTCTCTCTTCGTTTTAGTTTTATATAGTTTTTGTTAAGCCTTAATTTCTCTCAGAGTTTATTTTCTCTGTCTTGATCCAGAAATTTTAAGGAAAACCTGTGTCTCCATACTTTAAGTTCTGATACTCATGGTCATCCATTACCTGTATTTTAGGGCCATTTACTACCTGGAGCTCATGATTCCTCAATGGTGTGTGTGTGTGTTTAGAGGCAGCAAGGTAAATTTAAATATATCAATATTTTGTGCATCTGAATAAAAATTATTTTTAAGAAAGAGGCACAAAAATATTCACAATGTTCTCAAACATTTACATATTTCAAAAAAAATAAGATTGATTGTTATAGAGGAACATAAATCAGGAGAGTGAAATTCTGGGCTAAGAGATTCACACTGGTAGAATTTTTCTATTCACCATAAACCATATAACATCTATTTTGAGTTTTATTAAGAATGGTGATGACTTATGCCTAACACCACTTAAGGCCCAGACTTCCTGTAATGGGAACTGACATTGATATCCATCAATTCTAGGCAGCAACAGGATCTTTGCTGTGTCACTGGGCTCATCTTCAGCTTGTTCATGTTGGGCAGATTTGGTTAGTGGCAATGATAAAAATCTAAGAAAGGCAATCTCATGAGAGAGTCCCTAGGAAACCTCAAAAGTACAACACAGGAAATGAAAAAATGAATGAAGGTTTTCCTTTCAATGGCAGCTGAGGGTCAAGCCTTTTCTACCTTAGACGCTCATATGAAATAAAATTGTTAACTCTCCTTCCTTATAGCATATTATTTCAAACACTGTATTTTTTGTTAGACTAAATCTGTCTTTCCTGTCTTTCTGTTCAGGTCATGCCTCTCTGCTAGGCTAGAGAAATATAATTGCTAGTGTTCAGACACTAGTTTAAAAAAAAATGAAGGGCAGTACTTCTTACTGTGTGTCTACAGTAAGATATCTAATGTTACTTGAAAGTGTTTGAAGGTTAAGGAGAGAAAAGAACCAGGGCAAGTATTAGAGGTGGCCTATAGGGTACCCTCATACTATGTATCCTTCACATAAGTCTAGGCATAGTTGATTCTCTAAAGTATTCACGAGAGCAAGGAAGAAATTGGAACCAAAACCAAACTGACTCTCTCCTAGTTACTACAGTCTCCCTGAGAACTGTAGAGAGTTACAGCTCTCATGCCTAATCAATAAAATTGCCAGTGGGCGTTCAAACCTGGTTAGACCTAGTGTGGAACTATGCTAAGGCTTGTTAAAAATACACTGCTATGATGCATGTTAAATTCAGACAACTTAATTCGGATTGTATTCAATTTTCCCCCTAGCCAATTCATGTGTATTTAGAATTGTAAAAAAGCAATCTTATGCTATTAAAAAAAACCATCCAAGAAAGAACCATGGCAACCTAGGCAGACATTGAATAATTCCCAATGCTTACCCAGCATAAGGAGGTGTTTGGATATGACCAGCTAGCGTAGACAAACTATACTGAGCCTGGAACTATAGTAGAGACAACCATTTGTAGCATGCTAAGTCATCTCCACAGTGTTTTTCTAAGGTACTTTGACATACTTAGTCTAAGAGATGCTAATCTGAAATCTGTGTGATATACAAACTTAACCCTTAGGAGCTGGAGAGATGGATCAACAGGTAAGAGTACTGACTGCTTTTCCAGAGGACCCAGTTTCACTTCCCAATACACTCATGGTGGCTCACAACCATCTATAAGTTCAATTCCAAGGGATATGACACCCTTTTCTGGCCTCTTCAGGCACTACACACACACAGTACTCATGGTATACATTCAGGCAAGACACCTATATGTATAAAACAGAAACAAAGGGAAAAGTTAAAAAAAAGCATAATCCTTAATAAAGAAGAAAAACTTAGATACTCCATAACAATTAGAAGAAAATAATTCTTAACATTTATACAAAGCCATAGACATGCAGGGAAGTAGGGAATTGATATATAATCAAGAACAGAAGATATTTAATAGGAACAAACCCTGAAATTGCAGGGATGAAGAGAATTAGAAGTCAGAGACATTACTAAGGTGAATTTCTAAAGCTGAGCATCGTAATATTTGCAATGAAAAATTCCTTGTGCCTGTATATTAAGTAGATAAATAAATACCAGCGAAAAATGAGATCTGTAAATCTAAAGTACATCAAGAACTACACACACACACACACACACACACACACACACACACACACACACACACACCCCACTCTTACTGACCTGTGGGAAAATATCAAGCAATTTAAAATAATGGCAAACAAATATTTCAAGAAACTATGAACAAATGTTCCTTGTTGTTTAACATTATGTAGCCAAAACTGAATAAATCCACATTCAGGTGTAGCAAGATCAAATGCCCTTATTAAAGTCTAGCTTTGAGCTCTTGCATTTTCATCTAAAAGCCAATCTCACTTGTCACAAGTACTATAATGGTAGTATTCAGAAATGACAAGGGAGGCAAGATTATATGCACCCGCAACTATATGCATATATGATGCTTATGGGAATGTTATATGATGTATGCCTAAAGGCTTTCAGGAGCCCTAGCATTGTTTACTGTCTGAAGATTTTTTAAAATGTTTAGTGAATTGTGAATTTTTATAGTTTTACATGTATGGTGACCATTTACTATGCTAAATTAAGCTAGCGTGGAGAATTTCATCATCATTTTAATCTCAAAGGGTTATCTGGAAAAATAAGTTGAATTTGAAATGAAGCTAATTAAATTGCTCCTGGTATTATCTGGGCCATTAATTCATTCTTCCAGTCACCCCAATTGGATATCTGTGGAGTGAAGGGAAATATTGGTAAATCTGGGAAACTATCAGTAGTTTTAACCCCCTTGGGTTAAATTAATAATTCCTCTTAATTTGTGTTTTGAATGTTCACTAAATTACACAGAATAACAGAAAATTGGCTTCAAAGTAGATTTGTAATCTACTTTATTTCTTCATTATTTTTTATTTATTTGGACTTTATTTCCACAAACATGATATTGTGTTTCCTCTTTTGCCATCCATGACAAATACTAATTGCTTTGAGCTATTCTGATAGGCAATAATTGTTAAAAATAATTTACTTGTCTTTTTTTCTATTTTGTATAGAGACACCTAATCACAATACTTTGTAGTGTCTAATGTATAGATGCTACTCACTTTTGTCAGAGTTTGCATACAGTAACCTGTTCAAGTCCTGTGTTTTTTCTTTTTTCCCTTTTATTGAAAGTAGGTCTTTGCTCACACAATTTTGTGGTTTCACCTCCTCATACTCCTTCTAGTTCCTTCTCCATCCCCTCCCATCCAGATCCATTCTCATTCCATCTCTCATTAGAAAAGAACAGGCTTCTAAGAGGTAATAAGAAAATAAAATATAATAGGATAAAACAAACACTATCACATTGAAGTTGGACAAGATAAACCAACAAAAGGAAAAGATACCAAGAGAAGGTGGAAGAATCAGAGACCCATTCATCTGAACACTCAGGGTGTCCCTTAAAAATGCTAAACCAGAAGCTATAATGTATCTGCAGGGGACCTAGTGCAGAAATGTGCAGGCCCCGTAGATGCTGCCTCAGTCTCTGAGTTCACATGGGCCTTGCTCATGTTTACTTAGGGGGTCTTGTTTATTTGTTGTCCTCCATCCCCTCTGGCTCTTACATTTGTTTCTACCGTTTCTTCCACAAAGTTTCCTGAGCTCTGAGGGGAGGGTTTGGATGGAGACATTCCATTTAGACTGACTGTTCCAAGCTCCCCAATGCCTGTCTCTCTGTGTTATATCTGGCTGTGGCTCTCTATATCTGCTACAGGAGGCAGCTTCTCCAATGACGGTTGAACAAGGCATTGATCTATGATTATAGCAGAATATAATTAGGAGTCATTTTATCAGTACATTTTTTTTCTGTCTACTCTCTGTTTCTTGGTCACACAAGCAGTGCCAGATATAGGTTCCCTGTTGTAGAGCAGGCCTTAAGTTGTTGGTTGGTCACTCCTACAAGCTTTGTGCCACCATGCCCTAGCATATCTTGCAGACAGGACATCATTGTAGGCCAAAATGTTTGTGGTTGTGTTGGTGCTGTGTTTCTCTTTTGCTAATGTACAGAGTAGCCTTCCTATACCAAAGATTCTAGAATGTAGGGGTGACAGCTCTATGCAGGCACAACAGATCAACTTCTCCATGGGTTTGAGTCATGCTTAAAGTACTATTAAAAGTTGAAAAGGACCTGAGTCCTTTTAGGTTATTGGAGCTCAGTATTTACTGTCACCTCTTCTTTCCCCACCCTCTCTGTTCAGGTCTTTGCCTTCACACAGGCCAAGGGGATGATCTTTCTATCCTGCTCGTGATATATTCTGAGCCAGAGGCCTATGTCCTTGTTATTCAGAACAGAGCTATGGAAGATGAACAAGAAGATGAACGTCTCTGGTTACAATACATGTAAAAGAAAGAATGGGATTCTTAACATGCATCAAATGTTCAAACACCTTTCTCAGTAATTTCTATATCTCGTCTCATTGATCCTTGGTTACGCTAATATTTGGGTTAACAGTCCTCAGGAAGTTCAATTCTCAATGTAACCATATTTCTTATATTATACTTTTGTGTATAAAATAATTTGTATCTAAAGAAGTAGGTATGGGAATAAGATGGAATGAGATTCTGAGAGTCTTAGGAAAAGCTATTTAAATGGGAAAGGAAGGTTAACAATGTTAGCAACTATGAACTACAATTTTACAACATAAAAGACAAGATGAAAATAACTAAGCCATGCATAATTCATTGAGAACTAGGCCTGGTTCTCAAATTACAATGTGAATGTGAGTCAATTTTGGATTTTCATCAAATGCCAATTTCTGGTCATGGCTCCAAACATCCTGAATCAGAAACTATTGGGAAGGGTGGCCAACAATGAATGACATAATGTATTTAAATGTTATAAAAATAGCAAACAACAGAACAAAACAAACAAAAACACATAGTGAAATAAAGGCATACTGAATTACAATGGTGAAACTAAATTTACAGTGTATTCATTAGGTAGTGGCCTAAATATTAGCTTCTCTGATACCCTCCTGGACTCTGCCAAGTAGTGGGTGAGACCAGGAGGTAAAGGCCACAGGACCACTAGACTCCAGACCTCTGCTGTCCTCTTAGGACTGAGTGTAGCACTGCTTTGAAGGGCTGTGTGCTCAAGAACTTTAAAGACTAGTAATGAAGGGAGAAAACCAAGAATGAGCTTTGGTTTTGTGTTGACGAAAGAAGCAAATAAAAGTGAGAAGCCTAATGTTTTCGAACTGTGGTATAGTTGTTACGCGGAATAAAATGCAAGCCAATTCACTTAAACCTTGGAGCTTTCATTTTGATCCTATCTTAAAATGCACTGCTGTTATAGATTGTACTACTAAAATAATTTGAGAAGCGAGGTAGAATTTACCACTCTAAAACAATTCAACTTTCTTCAACATGGTGGAAGTATTAGGAAGAATTTCTGAACAAAAATGTTGAACCTTAGGATATGGGGAAAACTCTATAGGAAGCAAAAGCAAAGATGGGAATACACTGATCCAATGGTCCAAAAGGAAATAAATAAAATAGTTGAAGAATGAACTACTGACATCAGTGGGAAATACAGAAAAGATTTTAATATGCAGTCTTCATATAATGCTGTTTTAGCCATACATAGAAGGAAGAAGCAATTATAAATACCAGAGCTGGCAACAAATTAGGTCAGCTATAAGCTCACTTCCTCCCATTAGAGGAAAGCTAAATGAGTGGTTCCAGGGGGCATTAGATCTAGGACAGCTAATATACAGCACTGCATTTGATTTAAAGTTCTAAAACCACAGGACATCACAGTCCTATTCATGGTTTATTGAATTCCTTGATTTGTTCCTGTCTTCTATTACCCCAGGAACTGGAATACTGGGAGAAGTAAAGATACATGATAGTGAGAATGTGAGCTATCTAAATTGTCTGTTTGTCAAAACAGTCATAAAACTAGTACTTCTGACATCTTCATCAGTCATGTCAGTGTGGTTCTCCTCAGATTAGATTGAGCTTTTTTTTTCATCACATGTTCCAGGTAAGTACTCTCCCACTGCACTGGGCTTTATCCCCAGATCCCCTTTTGTACTGGTTGTGTATATGAGACAGAGTCTCACTGACTTGTCCAGGGAAGCTGTGAACTTACTCGGTAGCCAGGTTAGCCTGAAACGTTCAGTTGTACTACCAGTAATTAGGATTCTAGGCCTGCATGAGCAGATTTGGGCCAACAGTTGTTATTTAACAATCATTTTTCACTATTAATGTTCCATTTATTGACTGTTTCTATTGTTAAAGTAGGTTAATAGGCACATGTTTACAATTGAACATTTTTATTATTGGAGAAGGCATATGTGTATCCGCCATGGCATATGTATGGAGGTCCAGAGGCTACTTTTTATGTCATTTCTCTCCTTCCCACCTTCATATGTGTTCCAGGAACCAGACTCAGGTTGTTGGGCATGGCTGTCACCTTCACCCTCTGAGACATCATGCTGACTTTATATATCCTTTTAAACACTAATAATTTCATAGAGATATAAGAAGAAAAATAATATAATTTGTTCTTCACCTTCTAGCTCTTTTCAAGAAATATTGATTTTAAAGGTTTATTTTTAAGGAAAATGTATATTTTGCATGTACTATACACACTGAATTATCATGTAAGTACTCTCTCACAGTTCTATCTTGACTGACTTGCTTGGGAGATACACACATAACCACGTGAAGTCTTATTTACGTTCATGAAATATTCTAGTATTGTGGTCACACTAAATTCTTGTGTACTTAGGCCCATTAAGTACTTGAAATGTGACTAGTACAGACTAGGATATGTTGTTTTCAAATTCCACTTAATACATTTTTAATCTAAAGAGGGCAATGAGCATTCTCTAATAGGATCTTTCACATTTTCCAAAGGTTCTGTTGGTGATTTAGGAGATGGTTCAGTGGATGAAGCATTTGCCACAAAAGTGTGAAGCCCTCACTTGAGATCCCAGTAAGTACCAGACATCCTAGAGGGTCTGTAATCCCAGCAGCTCCCTGGGATATAGGGTGGAGACACAGGTCACACCACTTCTGTATGTCACAGCAAACAAACGCTCCCCTTTCAATGAAGTAGACGGCAAGAACTGACATTTGAGATTGTCCTCTGACTTCCACATGTATACGATGGTCCATATAAACCTGCAAAGACACATGTCTAATAGTGCCTCTCCCTTTGGCGGTCATTTTTGTTCAAACCATTACAATCTCATATTACCATGTTATTTTCTGTAGCACTGTTTATAGAAAACACATAAAATTGTTGGAAGCAGTTACCCCGTGACTTTGCATTTGAAAAAAAAGCTTTATATTTAATGGATATTTCTGAAGGGTTGGCAGGAATTGCCTGTAAAAACCATGTTGACCTTAGTTTTATCAGACAGATTTATAGCCACCCATTCAAAAGAAGTAGCAGAATATAAAATACTGAATTTATTCCAAGTCAATTTTAGAACATACATTTTTATAGGAATTCATTTTGACTAAATTTTTAAAGTTATTCACATCATAGTATTTAGCTTTTTCTCCATATTTCTGCTTGCTCTGAAGTTCTTTGAATTCATATTAATATTATTTTAATCTTTTCTTTTCCTTCAGAAACTTGACTAACATTAGATTTTGTCCCTATCTAGTCAAATATTGGTTCTATTGATCATCTGGATTCATTGTTTTGCCCTATATTCATTTTCTTTATTAATTTTTCCTTTTCTCTGTTGTCATCATATGTACTATGGCTTTTACAACATGATGGTGGTCATTGCCTGCTTATGGTACAGCTCTGTGATCTTCTTAAACAAATGGTCATTCATTTAGTTCCTAACAGGTGTCAGCTTGATGATCTTGTTTGCTCACCTTTTGTTTCCTTCTGGTCTTCTACCTTACATGTTAAGCTAAGAGATACTTAGAAATTGCTTATAGCTATTATATATGTACATATCATACCATCTCACATATAAAATGCATAAAATGCATTTATCTCCATTAACATAGAGCTAAAATTCTTTTTTTTTCTAGACATAGGAGGGCCTCAGGTAGGCCAGGGTGATCCAGAACTCACTATGTAATGGAGGATGGACTTGAATTTCTGATCCTCCTGCCTCTATCTCCAAAATAATGGTATTCCAGCTGTATACTATCATTCCTGGTTTAATGTAGTACAGATCAAGCCCAGAGCTTTATGAATTCTAGGCAAATACTCTACCAGGTGACATACATCTACAGCATCTAAAACTCTTTTAAAATTGTTTATTATTATTATTACAGTCATGTGCATATATATTTTGCCTGCATGTAATTCTGTGTACCACATGTATGCCTGGTCCCTGCAGAGACCAGAAGAGGACTTCAGATGCCCAGGAACTAGAGCCACAGACAGGGTGAACCACCATGTGTGTGCTGGGAATTGAACTCTAGTCCTGTGGAAGAGCAGTGCTCTTAGCCACTGAACCATCTCTCCATTCCCTCTCTAAAATTCTTAATTAAAGTTATCAGTATTTCTTTCAAAGTAAGATGTACATTTATAGCCGGGCATTGGTGGCTCACGCCTTTAATCCCAGCACTCGGGAGGCAGAGCAGGCGGATCTCTGTGAGTTCGAGACCAGCCTGGTCTACAAGAACTAGTTCCAGGACAGCCTCCAAAGCCACAGAGAAACCCTGTCTCGACAAACCAAAAAACAATGTACATTTATTTTAAAATAATAACTGTCAATTAAAGCTCTTCATTTATCTTGACAGTGGAACATTATATAGACATACGAGAGCATAACAAACATCTGGAGTTGTGTACTTTTTAAAATCCACCACATTCCAGAATTATGGTTCACTGGTTTTTTTGGAGACTGGAGTGTTCAAATATGAATGTTGTGACTAATGGGGAAAATGAAAGCCCTTGCTCCAAAGCCCTGGCTGATTCCTAAGACAGAGGGATTTCTTACTGATGTGAAACTATAATACGGGAGAAACTAAAATTTGGCTGTATTTGTAGAAATAAAGGTATTTCCTTTTATGGTTCATTGTCTCAGTATCCTGAAGGTCAAATGAAGGGTCACGTGTCTCTAAAATACCCTCCCTCCTGCCAGGACAGTCCCATCAGTGCCACACAAACAAGTAAAGCCTGCCAATTATGAACAAAAATACCAATATAATGGTGAATTATTCCGAAATGGTCCCCCCACAACTATAGTTTGTTTATCTTCCTAGTACAAAAAAGCAAATAGAAAAATCAAGAACAATACTTGGCAAAACTATGATGAAAACTATGATAAAGAATATTTTTGCTCATATTCCCATGGGGTGCTGTTGAGTAACAGTTAAATGATGTTTAAATGAAGGTACTGGCCTCTGTCTTTATAACAAGACCCTCAATTTCACTATGGACATTTAAGAACTTGGTGCATATTTTGAGAAAAAAGGAAACTACAATAAGGAAAGTAAAATGCAAACCAGGTGAATGTATTTGAAAGTGTTAGAGCATTTAAATCAGATAACATGAGGCAAAAATTTTAAGTTCTTTGTAAAGGAGGGGTTCATTTTATGTGAATGAAGGAGTGTGCTACCTGTACTTGTCTTCATGGTCTGATTTAAGCAATTATAGTAGCTATGCACAGGAGAAATCCACATCTTTTAGTAAGTTTCCTGAGACTATTCAATATACATGTTAAGAACTAAGTATGACCATTCATGGTGGCACATCCCTGTATTCCCAGTACTTGAGAAGCTGAGGCGCGAGATTTAAAAATTTGAGGCCATCCTGGGCTACATAGTGAGAACCTGTCTCAGAAAACAAAAGTGAACAAAAGAAGCAGAAAAACACAAGTGAATGAATGTCTCATTTTTATACATTCTAAATCATTGAGAAAAGAATAAATGTTTAATAAATGACTCATTGACTTGTGTGTGTGTGTGTGTGTGTGTGTGTGTGTGTGTGTGTGTGCTGCTTGGAGGTGTTGCTAACAGCCACATCTCTTTCCATGAATTTTGTCTGATGAACTCCAAGACATTGCCAATGTCACAACCTTTGTGATATTACTCTTTTCTTTTTTTGTCAACATTTTATCCCATTAAATATTCCTTTATACATTTTGAAGGTGCTATTGTGATTATTTTTCACATTTACTTAGAGATAAATAAAACTTATTTTTATCTTTATAGATCTAGATCCTGGAATTTAGTAGGTTCTTAATAAATGTATGTTAATGAAAGAATAGTATAGTATAATGTTTCTGGGTGGGATTTAAAGAGACTGTATTCACTGTAGAAAGAATGCACATAGACCAAATGAAGCCTGGTGACCCACTGAGTTTATTCAGATTCTTCACAGGAGAATAGGTGATTGGAAGACAGTTGTCTTACCTCACAAAAGTTCATCACTAGGAGGTCCCTATCCTGACTAACCTTCCTGCTCCTCTATATTCTAGTAGCCCTTCCAAACAAGGTGCATGTGGGTGGCAGAGGGAGTGTTGGTTAGCATTTCAGGTCTGAGTCTAGTGACGCTTACCTTCCCTTTTCAAGGGACAGTGAATAACTTCCTATTAACATAGTTTGAACATTTTCTGTGTTGTCCTGCTTATTTTATTGGCATGTCTGTTGGCTAGGGTATTTTGTAGGTTACCATCACAGTTATGTTAGGCTTGGAGGAACAAATCAAATAACAAACATGGCTTCATGTTCTCATCTTCTCCGGTTATTTAAGGGCCATCTGCAATATTTTGTCAAAATGGAAATGCACATACTTCCATTTATCCATACCCCTTTGCCAGCAGTATAGACTGTTCCAAAGGTGATTCTGTATTTACCAGATATAGGATTAGAGTATGGTATTTTTGCTTTATTGTTAAAAATAAGTCTTGATCTATACTCATTCTTTTACTTTTCAAGAAACTATAAATGCAAGGTGGTTTCAATGTCACACCTTATGTATTTTATACTTATGTACTTTATATTTTTATAGCTACCCATAATTTGACTCAATATTGAAATGTAGAAATGTTTAAATTTCTCTCTCAGGGCTGGAGAGATGGCTCAGAGGTTAAGAGCACTGAGTGCTCTTCCAGAGGTCCTGAGTTCAATTCCCAGCAACCACATGGTGGCTCACAACCATCGGTATGAGATCTGGTGCCCTCTTCTGGGGTGCACATATACATGGAAGCAGAATGTTGTATACATAATAAATAAATAAAATCTTAAAAAATTTCTCTCTCTCTGTCTCTGACTGTGTGTGTGTGTGCATACCACAGCATGTATGTGGAGGTCAGAGGACAATTTTTCAGATCAGTTATTTTCTCCCAACAATGTGATCTGGGGATCAGACTCACATTCTCAGTCATCTTGCCTGCACTTTCAAATATTTTCTTCCAGTTCTAGGAATTGAACCTAGGACATTGTACTTACTGAGAAAGTACACTACCACTGAACTACATCTCTTTCTGTTGGTTATGCTTACATCTGTAGTTCCTGATGGTTTACCAAGCTTTTCTATTTCCAGATTTCCCTCAGATTGTGCTTTCTTTATTGTCTATTTCAGTTTTTAGGTCTTGAATTGTTTCCTTGAGAAATTTGTTGATATCTTGTATTTTTTGGTTTGTTTTTTCTTCCATTTCTTTAAGGGATTTTCTCATGTCCTCTTTGAGGTCCTCTATCATTTTCATGAAGATGTTTTTAAGGTCATTCTCTTCTGCTTCATCTGCATTGTGATGTTCAGGTCTTGCTGGTGTATGGTTCCTAGTCTCAGGTGGTGTCATATTGGGTTCATGTTGTTGAATGTGCTTTTTCCTTGACCCCTTCTCGTCCTTACTTCTGGTGGGTGTAGCAGGAGTCTCTTTGTCTCCCGGTGGGTATGGGACCAATGTTCCCTTCTGGTAGATGCAACCAGTTCCAATACTCTGATGTCTGTCCTCTTGTTGTGGATGGAGGCAGAACTGCCACTGGGGCCTTGGCAGTGGCTGGGTGTGCCAG